GAAACAGAAGAGAATGAAGTTGATGTGCAGCAAAAAGCAGGCAAAGGATGCACTGCAGCTAAGGGCTTGGCCTGTGGTCCTGTCTTGTCCAAAGGGATCTGAAGATCTTCTAGGGAAGTCTGCTGGAAAATGTTTGCCTCCTGAGTAAGAGACATGTATAAGAAGAATCTGCCTTGTCTTCCAGCATTTAGTTGTGGTTATGTGAAGATGGTGCAAAGTTTGGAGCTGTGGCAGCTATTTTGTGACCATTAGAAGTCCAGCCCAGAATAAAAACTAACAGGCTGAGGATGGCAGAGTGGAAAGATAAAAAGCATGTGGGTCCTTGACAATGTTGTTGAAGCGCTAAATTAACTCTGAAACTGCCAAACTCTAGACTTTTATCTTGTAAATTTATAAATGGCCTTATTGTTTAAATTAATTTTAGTTAGGCATTCTAGTGCTTGTAGGCCGGCAGTGCATAGGGTGTCTCTTATGTATGGCCTTTCTGGCCTTGGGTTTATAATTCTGCCAAAGTGATTGTCTAGTCCACAATCCTGCAAGGGATTGGTTAGTTTACCATACAAAGAGGGAGTGTAAAACCACCCAATAGGATTAAGTGACATTGTGGAATTGGTGATTACTATGAAAATAAAGTGATTGTGATCTACCAAGGGGATTGATCAGTTCATGGTCCTGGTGGGAGGATCATGCCTTTAAATTGATAAGGACTGGGCTTACATAAGGGCCAATCCTACAGAGGCTGAAGGGGAACTCACTACTATCAAGAATAGCCTGGACTGAAACACATCCTTTGGACCCGGGGTCCCTGCATTGAGAACCTCCTGGACACAGGAGAAAGAGATATTAACACTGAAGACAGTGAGAGACTGAGATGGTGTGGGAAAGCACAGCAGTACGAGCGGCAACAGCAGCAGCAGCATGAGTGGCAGGAACCATAAGACCAGTTCGAGGCAGCTGCAGTGGGCCTGCCGACCTATAGAGAGAGAGCTGAGTTGGGGCAGGAGGCTCGCTGGTGGAGTAGGGTGCCTCCAGCCACTTGTCCTAGGAGCTAAAGGGCTGTAACCCTTTCCTGAGCAGGACAGAGGCCAAGAGAAAGCCCAGAGGTGGACACAACCAAGAAAGGCCTGGTGATGGACATGGCTGAGAGGACACTGAGAGTTGTCTTGGCTGGAAGCTGTCCTGATTGACAAACTGTATCCTGTCTCCTGAGTTGTATCTTGTTACTTCCAAGTTGATTCTGATCGCAAGGTGCGGCTTATTACTTCCCTAATAAATCACATAATTGTTAAGTATAGTCTGTGAATTCCGTGTGGCCATTACAACAAATTATCAGACCCAAAGGAGAAGTAGAGAGTGCCATGGGGGCGACGGCTGGTGTCAGAAACGTGGCAACAAGTTTGAGAAGTGGAAGTATGTCTGACCTCCACTTCATAGGAATCAGCTTTGTGCTGAAGGTGATTGTTATCCCCCTGAAATTAGATGACTTCTGATGCTAGATTACAAGGCCAAAGCATTCTAAATGACATACTACCCATGATCTCTGGCTTCCATGTCTACGGTGATTTTCCACACTCAGCCATATCCAAATTCAACTCACTCTTTAAGACCTAGATCAATGTCCATCTCCCTCTAGAAGTCTTTCTACCTTATCCATCCTCATATACTGTCTGTAGGGACAAAAATTATATGCTAATGCAAGGTGTCTATTTGGATATTGTTACATCTTCTGACACTCCTGGAAGGCTGAGTCCATGTTATGTTATAAGAGGTGTCAAGTTTTTAGACCTTTGACTAGATAGTAGATCAGAATTATCTTAGGTGAAGGGAAGGACAGCACACACTACAGGGGAAGTCTGTACAACTGGACTAAACCAAAGCTAAGAAGTTTCCTGAATACAATGAAACACTTTGAGGGACAGAGTAGCAGGGGTAGGAATCTGGGGACCATGCTTTCAGGGAACATCTAGGTCAACTGGCATAACAAAGCTTATTAAGAAAATCTTCTGCCTCCTACTTTGGTGAGTGGCTTCTGGGGTCTTAAAAGCTTGCAAGTGGCCATCTAACATACATCAGTTGGTCCCCAATCACCTGGAGTAAAGGAGAATAAAGAACACCAAAGACACAAGGAAAGTATTAGCCCAAGAGACAGAAAGGGCCACATAAACCAGAGACTTCATCAGCCTCAGACCAGAACTAGATGGTGCTCGGCTACCACCAATGACTGCACTGACAGGGAACAAAACAGAGTCCCTGATGGAGCAAAAGGAAGGTGGGGTGCAGAATTCAAATTCTAGTAAGAAGACCAGACTTAATGGTCTGACTGAGACTGGAGGAACCCTGGAAACCATGGTCCCTAGATGCTCTATCAACCCAGAACTAAAATAATTTCCAAGGCCAACTTTTCAGACAGGGATTGGACTGGAATGTGTGACATAAAGTGATACTCGTGAGGAGTGTGCCTCTTAGCTCAAGTAGATACAAGAGACCAAAGGGGCATCTTCTGTCTGGAGGTGAGATGAGAAGGCAAAGAGGTTTAGGAACTGGTTGAATGGACATGGGGAATCAGAGGTAGAAAGGAGGAGTGTGCTGTCACAGTATGGGGAGAGCAATTAGGGTCACCTAACAATGTATGTATAAATTTTTGTATGGGAGACTAACTTGAAATGTAAACTTCATTTAAACTACAACAATCAAAAAATTAAAAAAAAAAGTTTTTAGTCCTTTGTACCAAGCCCTGTGCTAGGTGCTTTTAAAATATTATTGCATTTAATGCTTACAATGGCTCTATGATGTCAGCTCTATTATTATATATGTCTATGCACAGATGAGGAAACTAAAACACAAGGAGGTGAGGTGACTCAGCTTGGCATAGCCAGGATTCGAACCCAAGCACACTAGAATCCCAAGTCCTTTAAACTATTAGCGCTTTCCAAACTTATTTTTTAACACTTGTTATGTAGCTCACAACACCTCACACAGTGTGCAGATAGCACAAAATCTATAGAAATATTTACTGAATGGATAACTGAATGAGATAATCTTCCCCTAATCTCGTCTGGCATTTTTATTGACTACAAAAAATGTTGGCAACTGTTCTTCCATTGATCTTCACGGTAGCCCTGTGTGTGGCACTCCTCAGGTAATTTCTGCGTTTGTGATGTCTTGTTCCATTCTTCTGTGCTCAATGTCACATCTTTTCAGTGGGAGGATGGGGCAGGGAAGGTGGCTATCCCCCCTCCAACACACCTCTGATGTGAGTTTTTTTGTCTCTCGATCTTTCTATGGGTAGGAGACTGAGAAAGCCTTCCTAGAACCAAAAATCACACCATGAGCTAGGGTCTTTCCCATAGGAATTCACTGGCAGAGAAGCTGGGAAATCTGAGGATGAAAAAGGGATGTTTTGCAGCTGGTATAGGATGGGAAGGCCTCAAGGATTCAAAGAAAGAATGTGTATGGAAGGAGAAGGATGCAACAGTATAGGTTATGGAGCTAAGACTTTTTGTCTTTAAGTCATGAATTCAGGAAAGCCTGAGACATGAGGAAATGAGCCACTGGGAGAGATGGGGGATTCTATTAGTCTTTTTTTTTTTCTATGTATGTGTTTCTATAAGTCTTTTACTAACACTTCACTTATCCAAAGGTCAGTTACCCAGTGACCTCAACAATCCAGAAACTTGCACTGAGCTTGTTTTTTCCTTGTAGTCTCCCAGAGCTTCTCTCAAAGAATATGTAAACTGAATATGCATGCAGTTCTAGAAAGGGTGGATCTTCTTCCACACACTAGACGGGGGAGGTAAATGTAGAATGCTAGCAGTAGACACCTGACTGAAGGTAAAAAATAAAAGAAAGAAAGAAACGACAGCTGACGTGAGGTAGAGAAAAGAAAGTTAACAAAAATCAATATATTCAGGCTGAGGAAAATATTTCCAACATCACCCAAGTGCATTACTATAGTGTAGGAAAACTTAATAAAGGAAATTCAAAATGACATCTTTGAGCCAAGTTACTCAAAACGTGATTTGATACTGGAGAAATCCAAATAAAGTCTGTGGTTCAGTTATTAGCATTGGACCTATGTTAATTTTCAAGTTTTGACAAAAGTACCAGAATAATGAAGCTGCGTAAAAAGTATACAGGAACTCTCTGTACTATCTTTGTAAATCTTCAATGGATATAAAATTGTTTCAGAATAAAGTTTTTGGAAAACTAGAACAAAACAAACACAAAAACTCTGATTTATTCACAATAAAAAACCCATTGTCATTGAGTCGATTCCGACCCATAGCGATCCTAGAGTTTGTTTAATAAGTATGAAGGGGTATACTGCTTACAGTCAAGGAGATATGGGGTGAAGCGGGAGACTGGGGGAGAACCACATGAGAACTGAGGATCATGATTACACTGGCTAAACTCAGCTTCATCACAAGGCTCATCTCCATGAGGACTTGGGAAGACTGTTCTTAAAACAGAGGAGAAGCCAAAAACACAATTTAAAAATTAAAGAATCTGAAATAAAATGTTGTTGTTTTTGTTGTTGGTTATTATTGTTGGTTGTTGCTGTTAGTTGCTGTGGAGTCGATTCTGACTCATGGTGACCCCCTGTGTGCAGAGTAGAGCTGTGCACCACAGGGTTTTCGAGACTGTGACCTTTTGGAACCAGATCACCAGGCTTGTCTTCTCAGGTGTCTCTGGGTGGGTTCAAACCACCAACCTTTCCATTAGTGGTCAAGCGCTTAACCATTTGTGCCACCCAAGGATTCCTTAAAATAAAATAAACCTCCTCAAACCATATGAATCTTTGGCCTTCAGGTCAATAGCAATCAATGTTCAGGTACAATTTTGGCTTGGCGGGTCTTAGCCAACAACTGTGATGTCTTCATGTGCACCCTCAACCTCATCCAGTGAGGATAGGAGAATAAATGGAAATCAAGGACATTTTGAAGGAAGAATTGAATGGGCAGACACAGACAGACTCACAACACAGACAGTGACAGACTTACAGAGCACGTTCAAAGTCAGACAGGAACTGGTCTATTGCAGAAGAGCAGGAGGAAGCTGGAGACAGATGAACAGCCACTTTAAGTTAAAAGAGGAAACACCACAGATGAGGGAGAGTGAAACGGGAGTTGGGAAAAAAGAAAGAAAAAAAAAAAAAGAACACACACAGATTAATAGATACATGATCTTAGCCTAGTTGAGCATTACAGTATTCTCAAAGTGCCTTTAGGGAAAAGTGAGGAGGAGAGCATAAATACTGCACAACATGGTTATACTGCATTATACATCTAGAAAGCACCTTTTATAGCTAGAATCTTATCTGAGTCTCACAAGACCCTGGAAGGTTCACGGGGTGGGTACTAACTTACTTTACTAAGTGAGAAAGCTCAGGAAGAGAAAGCAATCTGTCCAAGGTCACCTAGCTGGTTAGCAGCTAATGCAGAACTAAACCCAAGTGTTCTGAGTTACCTTTCAGGGTGGTGGTCAAGGTTATGTGCCACTTTCTCTTTCTTCTTCATAGCCAGCTGCCATTTATTGAGTGCTTAGTGTTTTCCAGGCCCCATCATATATCCCCTACATGCATTATCCCATATAATATTCACAACTATGTAGGTAGGCACTGTTACCCCATTTTCTGATGAGGAACAGGAAGCTTAGATGCAATGTGACCAAGATCATCCAGTTGGTAAAGGGGAAAGCAGGATTCAACCCCAAGGCTCTCTGACTCAGAGCCCATGCCTTTAAACTCTAAGCATGCTGATTCTCTTCTTAGATCCTTACTAGTAAAGGCCTGAATTTCCTGTGCCCCACTCAAACCCAGCAATGAGGCTTTTCTTCTTGAGCTCTGCTCACATTACAATTTAAGTGATTTTAGAGCCATCTGTTGGGCCGTCATGTTTCCTAAAGATATCCCAATCCCCTGTACTAAGAAACCCCATCCAAATATTCCCTCTACACCTCCGTCAGGGCCCCAGACCCTAAAAGGCCTTTGCCAGCTCTGCCCACTTCTTCCATCATCAACATCAAGTTCCAGCTCAGATGAGGCAAGAAGCCAGGCAGAAAGCCAGGATCCTGGAATCAGGATTTTCAAGAGCAACTTGATTAAAGTAATTCATCATGAAGTGAAAAAGCATGGATCATACTTTACCCCTCTTCCTTCATCTTTAGCCAATCTTCCTTAATGTGTCTATATTGAAGAATCTTTGAAAATACAGTTGGATATATATTGCCACCAATTCCATACAGCCATCTTTGATCAACTCAATATCATATTTCTTTTCCTTCTGAACAGACAGTACTTTCTGCCTCTATAACTTATTTGACAATGTAAGCTTCCTTGTGACAGCCCTTGCTATCGCTTGTTAAATGTAACTGTATATGCATTTAAGTAGCACCTTTCCAGCTAAATTACATGTCTCTTGGGGGAAGGAACTATGACTTATTTATCCAAGACAGTCAAACATCCAGAATTCTAATCTCAGCTCCATTACCTAGTAGTCTTGCAACCTTGGACCTCCCGATACCTTAATTTCCATAGCTATAAAAGAAATATAATAACAGTACCTCTCTCAGTGAGTTATGGCAAGTATTAAATGGAGTAAAGCATGCTCATCATGAATACATCGTGCCAGGCACAGTGCTCAGTAAATATTAACTAGTATTTTTCTAGTTAAACTTGAAGTTGATTTACACGATTAAATGATTTGGACCCCTGAATGTTTCTTCCTTCAACTAGTTCTCTCTTGTCTTTCTTTAGCCTGAGGCTATGCCTTGGTATCCTGAATTAACCAAGGTCTCTAAAGGTTATATCTGAACTCTTTGACAAGTCCATGCAAATTTCCAATTTCAATAATTCATGTGCTGGAGTGAACATTTGAGAAAGAAACTCAGAAACTTTCAATGGGTTATCAATAATCAGTTGAAGATTTAAATATCTGGGTATCTGTTTGCATGACATGCCTTTCTGGAAATCAGACTTCAAGACAACCAGGACCCAGTCCCTCAAACAGTAGGCATCATGTTGAATTTTAGTACAATTTTACTTTTACTTTACTACTTGAGGAGTAGCTGAAACCACTTCCCACTCTAGGCCTTCCAGAGTTAAGTGGTTTCGAGTATTGGTGTGAGACTGGGATTACACATTACACATGTTATAAACTATCATATAAATAGCTAATTTGGGGCATATATATGTAGTTTTATTCTACCTTAATAATCATTTAATTAAATTTGAACAACTCATATATTTATTTAGGGCTTTCCTTTTCAATGCAATTTACAATATTGCTTTTCTTGGCCATAACTGTGAAAGTCTAATGATTGAACTTTTGAGAGTGCAACACGTAGGCAACAACAGATGTATCTGAATGTATTGAGAACATTCTGGCAAAAATTTTTCCTTGTGAAAATCTCAGAAGAGCATATAATTTTACAGACTTTTTTTTGCACTGCTCTACACTTAAAAATAGGAGACGTGGTTAATGTTACACATAGAAGAAATGAAGAAATGTTAAGATTAAATTTAAAATATTATTATAAAATAAAAAATATAAATAAGAGTTTCAGAAGTGTTATAATTTGTATAATCCTGACTCTCTCCACCTATGTCAACCTTCCTGAATTAACAGTTTAGTTCTCTTGTAACCCTCGTCCGTCTGCACTTTCACTGGTTGGCGTGATCATGTCAAATCACACCCAGCTGAACCTAAGCTTTTATATAGAGAGTGCCCTTTACCTTTGTATTGAGAAGCACAATCTTACTAAGCCCTTTGGCATCCATTATATCATTTCGATGTACCACGAACCCATGAGGTAGGTATTGTGAAGGACTGAACAGAAACGGAGTGTCGTGTATTTCCCCTCCCATACCCCAGCCCAGAAAATGTAGAACACTTTAAGTGATCACACTATACCATGCTAAACGGTCAATTTTACCTTTCTTAAGTTTAGGTGTGTTTGGCACAGGAAGAGATTGAGCTGAGATAGGTCACCAACCCAGGACATAGTCTAAGTATGGGCAGGCTTGGCCGTGGCTTGGATGTTGATGTGACAGGCCAGGGACTGGATGGTGGTCAGCCAACTACCTGGCAGCAGATGTCAGGAAAACTCAAAACCCAGAAGATGAGGCTCAACTGATCGACAGAGGGAAGAGGCCAGGCAGAGAGCTAGGAGCCTAGAATATTGTCTCAGAGTGCTTCAAACACCTGAATAGCTCCTAGAAGCTGCTTTGGCATACTAAAAGCCCTGGTTTTCGTGATTAGATCCACTCCCTTGAACTCAGAGGAATTCTTTGTTACTGAAAAGGGTCTTACCCACAAGTGTTAATACCTTTAAATTGTTTATCTTAGCCTCAGAAGACAGGACCATGTCTGGTCCAACATAAGGACCCACAGGGGTGTCTTTCCTAAGCAGAGAGTTCATATCATTCTCTCCTTCAGACTGTGAGCTCTGTGTCTCTTGTACAACAGTTGGAGAACATGCCTCAGAGCTGTTTCTAAGCAAATTTTATTGCCATAATCAGAGGCAGATGCAATTAGCTTGCCCTCGCCTGGTGAATCCCTTTTTATAAAGTGAAATCCTTTTCCCATTTATCCCTCCTTGTATATCAGCAGGGGAGCCCTGGTGGTGCAGTGGTTAAGAGCTTGGCTGCTAACCAAAAGATTGGCAATTCCAATCCAGCAGCCACTCCTTGGAAGCCTTATGGGACAGTTCTACTCTGTCCTATAGGGTTGCTGTGAATCGGAATCAACTTGACAGCAATAGGTTTTTGGGCTTGATATATCAGCAAACAGTCCCTGGATGTTGTAAACAGTTAAGTGTTCGGTTACTAACTGGAAGTTTGGCAGTTTGAACCTACCCAGAGGCGCCTTGGAAGAAAGGCCTGGCAATCTACTTCCAAAAGATTACAGCCATTGAAAACCCTATGGAACATAGTTCTCGATAACAAACATGGGGTCACCATGAGTCAGAGTCAACTCAGCAGTAACTGGTTTTTTTTTTGTCTGTTTCTTTTTATACATCAGCAACAATGCTGAAGTTTCTTAAGGGTAATTTTAATTATTTTTTCACTCAACAACAATATCAGGAAATTCAGATTTGCATACTGCCCAATAGTAGAGCCTATATGATTACTGCCTTAAAAAAATTCTGAGCTAAGCTTGGTTTAAGCACCTCATCAAATGACAAGGTAATGTGTAGCTATGATGACTATTTTCATGGGCTAAATTTGAAATGTTACCTATTTTTATAGTCATGCACTCACTCTAGCGCTGTACCACTGCCCTCTTAACAACTTGCTTTAAACATCTCTCTGAGTGCTCGCTTGCCTCAATGAGTCTCACCATGGCCTTTGGCCCCAAACCCATAAACGACAGCTGTGATCTGACTATGCCAGCTCTGCTGTCAAAAATGTCCTGGCCCCTCACCCTTACACTCTCCTACTCCAGGTTCCAATGCTTGTCCCTAGCGGCAGGCTGAGGTCTGGCATGTTCTGAAGCCAGCTCTGCCCTGGATAGGAACAATTAGAAGGCTGTTGGCTGCTGTTGATGAATCTCATTCTGCAGCATAAACAGTGAGCTAAAAGAGGGTTGTGTTTGTTTGGTCAGGGCTTTTTCCATTAGGCTTGGTCATCAGCAGTTGGCTGGTTACAAATGCAGTCCTAAGACCAAATGGCTGGAATCCAATTATCCCAGCTTCCTGTCTGCAGAGCCCTGTCACAGAGGAACACAGTCATGTTTGCCTGCCTTGTCAGGCTCCAAGGACTCAAAGTATATCATTTGGAGAAAACTAATAAACAACGGATCATCAGATGTTTTGATGGAGAGGCAGCATGGTGTCGTGGAGAGGATGCGCTGGTCCAGAATGCAAGCTCTCTGGCGCTTGTCCATGTTCTGCCTCTTCCTGGCTCAGGGTCCTCCTCTTCACTTAATCTGAGCTTCAGCTTCTCATTTATTAGAGGGAGATCATAACACTGCTGGGCTGTTGGGAGCCTCTAGCAAGATGATATATATGGAAGGGCTTTGTACACTATAATGATGATAGTGATGTGATGATGACAGTCATACTGATATGCCTGCTAC